TCCCAGCAGTCGGGAGCCGAGTCGCTGCTGCTCCCGCTGCCGCTCCCGTTCGCCTCCATTTTGTGGCGGCCCCACAAGGCTCTGCGGCCCCGAAGCGTCTCCCGGGTGAGGGGGGAGCCGGCGGCGGCACCGACTCAGCACTCGCTCCGCCGATTCCGCGTGTGCTCCGCCGCCCCGACGCGAGCGCAGTGTGGCCTCGCGGGCCGCCGTACCCCCTCCAGGCAACCTCTCCTACCGCCATCGTAGTAGTTTTTATCTCCTCCGGCCCTCCTCCTGCCGTACGTCCTAGGTACGGCGCAAGAACTACAATAACCGTCATACCACGCGCGCGCACCCGCGCTCCGCCTCCCGAGGACAGACGGGAAATGGAGTTGCCTTCGTTCCTTGAGCGCTCAGGAACTGCAACTCCCGGCGGCCCTCGCGCGCGCCGTGCGTCCCTGCCGGCCCCGCCCCCGCCGCCCTTCCCAGGGGGACGCGGAGCGCGGGGTTGGCGGGAACGGGAACCGCCTCAGGCGGGACGGGACCCGCCGGGGCAGCCCCCAGCGCTGCAAAATCACACCGAGCTGCCCTGCAGAGCTGAGCTGGACAGGGACGGGGACAGAAGCGGGACGGAACCGCCGGGACAGCTCCCAGCGCTGCACAATCACACCGAGCTGCCCTGCAGAGCTGAGCTGCACGGGGATGAGAACCGCCGGGGCAGCTCCCAGCGCTGCACAATCACACCGAGCCCGGGGAAGCTGTGGGGGCACACGCCCTCCCACGGGATGCTAGAGGGAACGTTGCCGTACCTGTCCAGCCAAAAGAGCCCAGGATGCATGAAAGTTCCAATTTTGGTCATTCTGTAGGACACTTTGACTTGGTTGTTACCATGTAAAAAACCCATCCCATTATAATGGCCAGAGTCAGTAGGACTTGCCAAATACTGAGGCTCTCTCCCCACTGGTATGACTCTTAAAAGTTCTTATAACAAAATCTCAACAAACAAACCCAAAAGACATTGCTTGAAGTTAAGTATATTTAGAGGAAACAACGCAGAACAGAGAGGAAACAAGTAGATTCTGTGGCAGCATTTTGTCTCATAAGGTACAGTGTGTTTATAATGCACAAAGCAAATACTTGGGAGTTTCTTGGAGTGCTGACATGTGAGGGCCAAATCATCTGCAGCATTATTTATATTAGAACACTGTAGGACAGATTACAGAGTTGTTTTGAAAACAGATAGTCTTAGAACTAAAAATGAAAGATCTCCATTTGGTGCAGAGTCCAGGGCAGTTTTGGTTGGAGAACAAAAGCTTCCCTGAAGGGGCATTTGTGTAATGTAACCCTGACACGAGAACCAGAGGGCTCTGGCTGCACACCAGCAGCAACATGTGTGCCATGGACAAACAAAAACTTCTACAGATGCTAATGGAAGTATGGGCTTCCAACAGATCATAGCCAGGGAAAATATTAGTGTGCAGGGTAGCACTTACAAAAGGAAAAACAAACAAACAAAAACAACAACAAAAACCCAACAAAAACAAAAACAAAACAAAAAAAACCAAAGCCCCAGTAACACCACAGAAAGCTAATTTTGGAAGAAAAGATAGCACTTATAATGAGAGAGTAAAAACCTCTGCCTAAGTGGAAGCCCTTCCTTCAAGCACCACCAAGAGGTTAACCCTAACCCTGTTCTCTGGTACAGAGTTAAAAATATACTCTATTTTTCAAATAGTGTATAATTAAGGAAAAGTCTCACCTGTGCCACTGTTGTAATATTTAGAATTTTTGTCAAGCTGCAAGTAAGTCCCAGCTGTGCATGGCAATCACTTTTCAGTTTAACAACAGGAAAAGTAGCATGCAGTGGATTGTTTGAGTTTGTTTTCTTTTAGTTCTAACCTTCGCTTGTTAGGTGACATTTATTAACCGAGGTGTCTGATACATTTCATATAGTATGGAAACAAGGTAGCACCATTTTAGCACTCAGGGATTACTAGTGTTGAATAACAGCTAAAACTCCACGGGAGGACAAGCTGCACGCATTCTGCTGGCAGTGACTTGTTACTGAACACTTTTTACTGTCACTGTGAGCATTGAACAGCTCAGGTTTATAATGAGTGCAATGCTGTACTGCAAGCTCGTGTTTTGTTTGAGCCCTGGCACAGCCTACAGGTCAGGAAAGCCTTAGCTGGGGCAGGTGCTGCCTTTTCTGAGCAGTTAAGGACCTTAAAATGATCAGCACAAGGAACACAGGGACAGCAATTCTTGCACACATTTTGGCATACCTTAAAAAGGCTTCTTGAAGGTTTTTGAAATGGACTTTCTTTCCAAAGGCTCATAAAGCACTGTGTTGTGATACCTTTTTTGTGTTTGTGTAGGGGGAGTAGGGCCAAATATGTGTTTGATCAGAGGTGCAGAACTGCATATTACCACTGATTTCAGGGAAAAAGAATTAGTTGTGTTTCACAACCTTTCTTCCTTCCTTGACAGGTACTTATTCCCTAGGTACTTGCTAGGATACAAACAATTAGTCCACAGAATTTCAAAAGATGCCAGATGTCCTTCAGAGTGTACAGACCTGTTTTACAGGCTGTCACACATAGGAATTGTGTAAACTCAAACACTAAATTTTTAACAGGGTTAGTAGTTTGTTTTTCCACTTTGGAACAGCTGGTACTCAAAACAAAAGTGGAATTATGATAATTTTACTGGCAAAATATCCACTGGAGTGTAAATGGTCCTGTTTGCTTGAGGTTTTAAAGCATTATAAAAGCTTTCTTTGTTTAAATCTCTTCTGCATGAAAATGTTTAGAATAAATATACCAGCTCTTCATTTAATAAATGTTAAAAAGCTTTTTCTTATTGAGAACCACCCATATAAATCCATTCTCATATCATGAATGACTTAAGTGATCAAGACTGCTTAGAAAAGAGGAGTCTGGCCCAGCTTAGGGTTAATATATGATGACTGAGGGGCAAAGAAATTGTCCCCCTCCCACAACTGCAGTTCTAATATCCATCCTTGTGCTGCCTCTGAGCTATTAGACCCTGTGCTGAGTCTGTCCAGCTCATTAAATTTAGTGACAGAACAATCCACTTTATTTTTCCTCCTGTGCTACTCAGATGAATCAAATAAGAAGCTTTTGACAAATGCCAGGGCTGGTATAAAGTAAGAATGTGGAACAGGACTTATTTTTTGGTGAGAGCAAGTTATTAATACAATAAACTATCCCAAGGCAGCTTCACCACTAATTTGCAGTCGGTGGTGAGTCAGTCCTATAGCAGTGAAATGGAGGGCTCTGTTCATATGGTATTAGAAATAGTGGTCTGTACTTTGGTAGTAACTTCCACCCAAGCTCCCACAAGCACTTTGCAGCCTGGCAGGGGCATCTACAAATACCAATGCTTTAGCCATGTGAACTGAAGCAGAAGAAAAAGATGGATTTCACTAGAAGGCTCCAAACAGGTTAACAGCTTCAAGAAGTTACTTGCTAAGTACCAACAAGTAAGTTTTTAAAATTCCATAAACTACCAACAGCCTTAAAATGAGAGAGAGTTGTTTTATGGCTGAATTGACTCAGTTTACCTTGATATCAAGTAACTTCCTGAGCTACTGCAACATGGGAAAAAACATTTTGGCTGAGACTGGGAGGAGCAGGAAAGGAATTCAACTTCCCTTTCTGGCGTGGCAGCAAGCTGGGATTGCAGTGACGCCGTGTGAGCCATACCTTGATCTTTAAGGGTATTCAAATATGTACAGTAGTTATGCACCTAAATGAGTAGCCTGATGTTTAGAATTGCTTTGAAGTCAGAAAGAGCCTGTAAAAACAAAGCCAAAGGAACAAGTTATTTAGTTAGGAGAAAGAAAAGACAGGAGGTAAGAGGTAAATTGTTAAAAGTTTGACCAGGTGCCACGAATTTATAAATTAATATTCTTAAACCCTGGTAAATTCTCTTTCCAGGTAGTCTGTGGAGATGTAGCTGAGAACTAGAGAATAGAAAACACAACTATGTTTCAGCATGATGGGTTCATTAAGAACCAAGACTCTCCTAAGCTTTACTGGTGCTCGTGGAAGTGTAAGTGAATAAAGAGGCTTTTAGATTGACACAAGACCATGTCTAATGCAAACTGCCCCGGAAACATCTTTTTACTGATTTGTTGTTCCAACACTGCTATTTAACAAATGCTCTTTCTGGCCTGTTCCTCTCCCTGTGCTGGGCATTGGCAGAACTGCAGTCCATGAATTCCATCATAGAAATGTATTTGAAGCTATTTCACTGGAAGAATTTCAAATCAAAGTCTTCTTTGGTTTTCCAAATGTAGCACCAGAGCATAAGCTCTATTTCACAGTCCAATCATAGAATTACTCCACATCTGCAAAGGAATTTAGAATTTGTTTCACATTTCATTGTGGGTTGGCAATGAGTACTTTGGAGCTGGATTCTTCTATTCTTCAATCTAGTTAAAGCCTTTTTTGATCACTCCTTTTGGAGCGATTAAACACATACTGCAGGCTCCAAAAAGGGCATAAAGTTAATTGGTTTTCCTTTAGATAGCAAAAGAAATGCATGGGTTGCTACACCAGAATGCCAGTTTGTAATTTTCTGTGTCCATCTTCTCAGCTCTCAAATACCTCCCATGTTCAGCTCATTATTTTTAAAAATAGTCATGTGTGTCTCTCACTGTTATGTGTATAAACAACCTTTATTCTCTTTGATTGTGTATTTTGAAAAAGAAAGACTGAAAGGTCTTTTTTTGCAAGTGCATCCCTTTTTTCAGGTGACTCTAATTGGAGGCTCAGAATTCTCAGCTGTGTGATCTATTACTTAGTTACCCTGTGCTGTTTAGATCTCAGAGATCTGTAAGGTGAGTTCTTGTTGGATCTTTGCTCACGATGCCTCTCTTTGAATGCACAGGCAGTACAGTGCCTCCTCAGACAGAATTTCTTCTGTGGTTTGATACCCTGAGACTCCAGACTGAAAAATAGGAGAGGGAGAGTAGTTAAGGTAAGTAGCTTTTCTGTCAAAACTGTTGTGTGTGTGGGTTTCTTGTTATCAAAGCTCAAAAGAAACGAAGATGGGGATTTAGGTGTGCACATTGTGAAGAACCTGTGCACAGTTTATAAACCTTATGACAGTTAAAATGCTGTGAATAGCAGAGGGATTGCTCAATGTGGAAGGAATGTGCTGAGCAAAGAATGTGCATCCAAGGAAGGGAAGAATGAGATCACTTAAATGATGTAAACAGTGACTGAGCTGGGACTAGGAAGGTTAGAGACAGGAAGGAATCTATTTTGAAGAGATTTGAAGGCAGAGATGTGTGGTTTCAGAGATCTGAAAGCCAGGTTTAGGATTGGTGGGAGGAGGCATCATGTCAATCAAAATACTGAAGCAGCTGAAAAGAAATCTTGTGAAGTACAGTCCAGACCTCTGTTTTTCTGTTCTTATGCTTTTATTTAGATTAGCAGTATTTTGATTAGAAAATTAACCTTTTGCTTCCTTAGAAGCAGCATGGCCAGCAGGACCAGCGCAGTCACCGCTGCTGCTGAGGCTACACCTCGAGTGCTGTGTCCAGTTCTGGGCCCCTCATGACAGGAAGGACATTGAGGTGCTGGATCATGTCCTGAGAAAGGAACAGAGCTGGGGAAGGGGCTGGAGCACAAGTGTGATGAGGAGTGGCTGAGTATTAACACGCTGTTTATTCACACCCTTTCTGATTGCAGGCACCCCCTGACATGGAGAAGCTCCGAGCTGCCATGTCCACTGCTGGATACTGTAATAACTCTAGGCCAGATCTCCTGCTTTATGAATATGGTAAGGGTTTTATGACACTTCAGTTCTATATGGAAAATTTTACATGCTGGCTGTCTCAAGGGAGGGGGAAATAGAAAACTGGTTCCATGTGGGATTTTCATGTGCTTTCTTTTCACCTTCTTAATTCTCTGGAATTCCAGTTGAGGGAGCATGTTGTCCATTAGAGATCCCTTAAGATTTTAGTTTCTGTAATGACTAAAGCAGAATGGCATTATTGTTATGAAAGAAGAATAACAGCTTCATGGGATTTTTAAAGCTGTTCTTCTATGGCTACTTAACATGTTAACATTGTTACAGAAAATAATTACTTCATTATGGAATTGTGAGAATGAAATAGTGAGCTTGTTTCTAAATAGGCTTAATTACTTTAGAAGTATTCTGTGCCAGTATTCTTATTCCAGAGACAGCAATTTGCATGGGGAATTATTCTGGAGTAGTGGTGGCTAAATCAATTGCAATTCCCCTCCTGTCTTGAGAGGGAGCACACATTGACACTGTGATTGCTGTTCATGAGAATTTGAAAAAAGTGAATGTGCATTATTCAAACTTCTGATTAGCTAGAGAATTTGGCTAGAATTACCAGAACAAAAATTTCTGTTAGACTTTAGTGTATGCCAAGCATTTCACATAATTCATAATTGTTCCTGCACATTTATTTTTGTTGTAACTCCAATACTCCTGTTGGCATTATACCACTGATGATTGTTTATTTTGTCCACCTGCAAAATCACTATAATAGTAGCACACAAGAGATAATTTTTCCAACACAAAATGTAAGTGCTTACATTAAGAAATAAATTATATTTACATTCTGTAAAAACTATTGTACCAACACAAAAATGTCACTGGCATTCTAACAAGCACTGGCTTATCCAAACTTGCTTGCACAATTCCTTTTTTATGCATTGCTCTTAGTAGTTACATAACTATTCCAGCACATGTGGAATGTCAGAAAAGTGAAAGGGTATCTTCTTTGCCCCAAGGGTTTGGAGTCTATCAGGACTGCTTTCGTGGGCTGCGCACTTCCTCTGTTCCATAAACTTGTTCCTAGCTAAATCAGCTTTGAACACAGTGGGGAATACAGAAGCTGTCTGTGATTTAATTGACTGTGTTTATACTATTGTTATTTTAATCACTATTTTAAAAGAACATTTTCTCTTCTGTTGTTTTCTCTTTAATCCATTTTGGAAATACTCAATGTAGCACCAGCAACATCACTCTTTTCAAAGCTGTGGTCTAATTAAAATGTGCTGAAGAAAACAGGCAAAATCCACATTGTTCTTGTTTTTGCTCTGTGTGCAAATGACATTAAACAATATTTTGTCTAAGAGCAGCATTGTTCAGTGCAGCTTGTAAAAGTTAATGAACATGATGAACCCTTTAATAGCTCCATTCTTTTATTTACTAGCAGTGTGTGCCCCATTCCTAGAACAGCTTATCTCCTCCCAGCCATACAGTCAAAGCATGCACTTCACAAAACATGGATTTCTGAAAATAACTATTTCAGAAATCTTTAACATGTTTTAGGAGATGACTATCTGTAAGACTGCTTTTCCTTGAAGTACAAAAACTTTTGAGAAGAAGTGCTGTTTTTTGGTATGTACATTGGTCTTACAGATTTTTAGGATTGTTGAGGTGAGGTGATTTATAAGAGACTTTTTTGGGGGATTTGTTCTGTAAATAGCTTTAGAGAATTGGAGAGAATCAGAGCAAGCCTGTAGTATAAGATTTGACAGCGTAGGTCAGTTGCCTTAGTGAGTGGGAAAAAAAGAGCTGTGCCAGCACAAAATCATCAATGTAGAAGCAACTATACAACCAGAAGAATTCCTTTGTCAGCCTAGCTAATGTTGTTTGTGAAGGGAATGTTATAGTCCTAGCAGAAAACCCTCTTTCTCTTGGTAAGTGCTATGTAATTATGCCAGCAGAATTTCTGAAGTACAGTCAGGCAAAAAAGTTGGCACAGGCTTCAACAGAGAAACCCTGAAGCAGTGCCAGAACAAAACTTTGGTGTTTAAGTTATATGTGGTAAACAGATCTCAAGTTATTGTTCTGTGACAGATGAATTTCAATCTTTAATCATTGATATGATGTTATTACTTACTTTGATTTTCCATCCAGAGTCCTCATTTTATTATTTTTGCTTAGACACCCACAACAGATTTTTCAAGTTAAATAGTGAGAGATAAAATTTCTCTTACCTTTTCCAGGTGACTGATTTCTGTTATATAATATTAATTTAATATGTCACAAATAAGAACTGACAAGGATTTCTGGAAGTCTTTGGTTTCTCCAGCAGTCTGGAGAACCAGCAGTCAAATTTGGGTTCATGGCAGGAAATGCTCTGGCTGGATGTTCAGTGCCTGGTGTGCCTGTTTTCTGTCACAGCAACATGGAACTGGAGGTGTTCTGCTCCCATAGGAGAAGGCTGTAGGTCTAAAACATCTGTGTATGTTTGTGTACAACTCCAAAGCACCAACTCCTGCTCTATGCTGGGTTATGCTCCCTTCACCTGTAAAAATGATTTGATTGCTTGAAATCCTGTTCAGCAATTTGATACCCTGCTAGAACTGTCAGTGCTAAAACCATTCTTCTAAACAACAAACAGAAAATAGCATTCATACTGGTTTTTATAAATTGTCCCCAGGTGTCATTCCTGAGTCAGAAACATTTTGGAAACAAATCTGAGAATTGGTTTTCCTTTTCTCTTTTTTCTTCCTGTTCTTTCTGCAGTTGATACTTCACTTCTTGCATTTTTTCCCATTGCTCTCTGTAAGGATGCCAACTCCAGCAGGCCAACTTAACTTGTCTGAATTATTCTTAGAGGATATCTTGGGTAGTTTTCAATTTCAGTTACAGTAATGTAACTGCAGAAATACTTCCCTGGCAATACTTTGTGATTTATGGTTAAATGATTATTGTAGTTGATAAATCCTTTCTTATTTTGTCCAACTCTGCTTATTTCTGCCATCGTTTTGAAGCAAAATCAAATTAAAAGTAGAGAGCATTTATTAGCATCAACATGTAATTGTTTGGAAAGCCAGTGCAAGCTCTGTAAATCCCATAACTGAACAAAAGCTGAAATGTAACTTTACTGGTAAGTAAGGCATGCATTTATTATTCCCTAAAGGTAAATATCACTGTAGGAGAACCATCATTCCATACCATAATCTCATTTTTTTGTGTGTTTGCATAATCTACATGTAACAAATCGGTGTTCTGCTTAGAGGATTTAATATGTATTATACAAGGCAATGGAATGATTATTAACATAACATAGCTACAGTTTCTAAGTAACAATATTCTTAATATCACTTAATGAATTTATTCTTAATGCTTCTGGTTTTTGTTTCATTTGTTGTCTGAATCCAATATTTTACTGTATAAACAGCTTCTCAATTTAGGTATAAAGCATCTCATATTAAAGCGAGTTGGTATATCACACTTCTCCCAAAAAAGTGCTAAAAGGGTTGTTTGTTTGGATTTTTTAAATATTGGCCCCTTGCTATCAAAATTACTCAAAAATGAAGGTTGCACAAGAACCTTGTTAAGCTAGAAAATGTCTTTATTACTCCTGGACATAGATTTTGAAATAACGTGTGCTTTAGATGTGTAGTGAGATCTGTCAGGGGGATCTATTGCTTATCAAGATTGATTGAGTACATGCTTGCTTTCATGCCCCTGAGGAAAGGAACTTCTGAATGTTAGGATGTGCAGAAAACAAAGGCAGCAGGCCATGACAACTCTAATTCCTCATTGTTTTTTGAACCATTTGTTACCTGTGTTTTGTCATTGCATACATCATTTAGCTATACTGTGTGCAGCTAAGGGAAAAAGGCTGGCACTTGAACGGTGGCTGCTTAAAGGAATGACACAGTAGAGACCCTTTACTGTCTTTGCTCCCCAGTTTCCAATGTGTGAAAAATGTATTGCTTAATTATCAGGATTTGTGGTTTGGGGCACATCTGTCAAAATAAATCAGTTTATCCTTAAAGGCTGTAAGCTTTGGGAAATAGTAGTCCAACTGCAGAGGGAAAATTATTGCTGTAAGAGACAGCATCATTCTCCAGAGCTCTGATGAAATGAGCTGTATTGTGCCTTTTACTTGGGGGGAAGTTTCCTAGAGTTTGACTGAAAATATGAAACTACTTTGTGTCTTACAATAAATATGTTTGAACTCTAACCAGCCATATAGGAAAACTTTCTGACCAACTGAGAGAGAAAATATTTCTGCCACAATAACTTATTTTCCTATATATACAATCTCAAATAATTAGGCATAAATTAATTTCTACTGTACTTAGAGTTTGACAGGACTTTTCAAATTAAGATATTGGTGCATTAGTTCACCAAATGTGGATTTCTCTGGTGGACTTAGTTGCATGTTGCCAGTAGGTGATCAGCTGTTTATATATATATATATATATATATATATATATATTATTGTGATATTTCTGGCCTTTTTTCTAGGGCCTAGGATGTAAAACTCCATGAAGTGACTCATTAAATGAATTAAAGTTGCTTGCCATGTAAGCCCTCCAGCCCTTCCTCACATTTCAGAGTACATAGAGTGAAGAGCAGGACTATCCCTATCCTAACACCAAGACATTTAATTAGCTTATCTGTATGTAATCTACCACATCTTTAGTGACCTCCAGACCTAAGCACATTTTGTTATTTCTTTCATTGCTTTTAGATCAACATTTCTCTTTCAAAGTCCCTTTACAGTTTTTATGAATAGTACCAGTAGAATATCGAGTAGATATCAGTTGTAGGGTGCATCACAGCAACACACAGAGCAGAAGTGCATAACAAAGTCCAACAAAGACAAATGTAAGGTGTTGCACCCCTGAAAATGTAAGCCAGGAATGCAGCAAAGGCTGGGATCTTTCACCAAAGTCAGTGGATAAAAGCTTAAAGAATTGGATCAGCTTGTCTATCCTGAAATTCACTTACTGTACCTGTGGATACCCTAAAGATACTTTCATGAGTATCTGCTCTTTTGAGATCACTGTTGAGAATGTGACTGTCCTCTCCATGACTGAAAAGGCTAAACAGCATCTTAAAAGCAAAACCTGAAATTTCTCTGTGCATAAAGTACCAAATTGTGCTTCACCAGAAACATGGATAATACTGCAGCCATAACTGAGGTTTCTCCCCCCAGAGTGTGATTGTATGGAGCAAGGCAGAACCAGTTTTATGACTTCAGCACCAGCACTGACTTCCTAGTGAAAGTTTTGGCATAAACCACAGTCTCTACCCTTATTTTCTTCTGTCACACCTAAATCAGATTTCATCAATTCCTATTTATCCCCTAATCTTGAAGAGGGAGAAAAGCCTGAGAGAGAAAGCTTTGAGCTGTGCAAGGCCATAGAAACAAGTGCAGAAGCCACAATAAGCATTTCCATCTGCTGGAGACTAGAATACAGATCTGTTAGACTGCTCCACTAAAACCAATTTGTGTATTCCCACATGGTGTATTTTGTGGGAAAATAAGTCTCATAGTAATGTGGTTTGAAATTACAACTCCTTATACAATGTTTTCCTTTTATATTTCTATAGTCAAAAAGGCAATTAACTTAAGTATGATAAAGAGAGAGAGCCTGTAATTCTGATCTGTCTGTGACAGTGATACTGGATAGAGGCAGCTATTGCTACTTGCTAGAAACTATTAGTTAACTCTGTATTTAAAATAAATTCTATTAGAATAAAACATCAAGATACAACTTAGCTGTGTAAACTACTTTGATTTTGACAGTCTGTACTCAGAGGCTAATTTAGAATTGAAATACAATCACCATGAAAAAAACCCCAGTTTTAGAGACAAGAACAATTATTATGAAGTCCCATTTGGAGATCTTCTCTACAGTTTGTAGTATTTAGCACCTGCTCTAGAAACATCTTCCATAAATAACCATTTTCTGTTTCAGACAAAATTTACATTGAAAACTATCTTGGTGCAGCTGCTCAGTTTTTCTAAAATTGTGAATTGCCAAAAAAGGAACAGTAATTTCTTGGGAACCTCAGAGTTAAATCCTTTTTCTGTAACATGATCCCATGTAGTGGAGCTGTGATGGAAGTCCATTATTACTGCTAGCTGTTCTTAGAGTAGCTCAAACTGAGAACTAAGAAGCCTTTTGTACATGATCCTCGCTCTTTTACAATTTCTGTGGCTTTGTAGTTCCATAATTACTGCCCCTGATGGCACAGTGCTCCAAAAATGAATACTTTGATAATTTGCTGCTCTCTTGTACTCCTTGTCACCTCCGGTGTTCCAGTGCACCACCGCCCTCCTGTGAAAACTACTGTGAGAAGAGTAAGTAGATTTCTGCAATACTCTGTGGCTGTGCTGGGCATCTTCATGTTGTATTTTACATTCAGGTTTGATGTGTTGGACATGTTTACTGTACATTAGTTATTGTTTATGATTAATGTAATGCATCTCTTTTATTTCATAAGGTACTGATTCAAGTGGAATTCTTTGGATTTGTTTGGGCATAGGGTTGATTTTAATAATCACTCTGTTTACCTTAATGATCTTGTTTAAATGGAAGCACCTAAAGCAACTAAAAGAAAAACTGGAAAACACAGGTGAATAAATTCTTCATCAAATAATTTTAGATCATTGTACCTTTTAGCTACTCTTAACATGTAAAAACATTGTATATATTCCAGATTCTTATGACTGTCTTTGTTGGATTGTTTGGTCTTTGTTGGATTGTTTGGTATTCCTAAAATAGTCTCCATGAAATTATCATAGTTATTAGGGAATAAATATCCAGATGTTGACTTGCAAAAGCAGCAATTTCTCTTTGTGGGTTCTGGATCCCATGAGGATTTTGTTGTTGCGTTTTCATGCCTGGCTTACTTGCTGCTGTTTGAGAAATCATTTATGAAAACTTAAAAGCAGAAAACTGCACAAGGGTTTCACCCTCACTGAATGCAAAAGCAATTGTTCCCAGACAGAGGATACACATTCAATATTAGCTTTTCATTTTTTAAGACTTTAAATAATTTTATTTAATATTGTAGTCTGTGAGAAGCATATGTGGTATATTTTATGAAGGTGAAAAAAGATTTTTTTCCATTTTACAAATACTATATTTATGAGTTTTCAGACAATAATTAGAAAATGTGTTGAATTACTTCAATGCTTATTCTGAACTGAGGGTTGTATTGTCATTGAACAAAAGATTATCATATGTAGCTACATCTTAAAACTTTCAATATACCTTAAAATTTTCACTGAGGTTAGAACATAGTTGCACCATAATGAAATTTGGATCTTTAATAGCTCTTTGTTTAGTATAGCATGATGTATGTACTAAATTAACTTCTGTGTATTTACAGACTCCTCTGTGGAGCCGAATAATATTCTCAAGGCTAATACTGAAAGCAGTGTGAATGCAGAAGAAATTAGACACACACTTCCAAGTGAAACATTAATGTATTCAGTGGAAGAATGCACTTGCAGTGACTGTGGCTTGGTAAAACCTCAGACTGGCTGTGAAACTTCATTTCCATTACCAGCTACTGAAGAACAAGCTACTGTTCTAGTTACCACCAAATCTTTTGATTATTACAACTACATTCTGGGTGTTGGATGACTGGGAGAGAAGTGTATTTCTACTGAGTAATAATAAATGAGTTATTCCAGTATAGCTGTAAACCTTAATGCTTGCAGTCAGTGGAGACAGTAGTACACCATCCTTAGAGATCTCCCATTTCTACAGTATTCTCAGGCACTCAATTACTTATTGGAATTTTTCATTTCAGAAAGTCCTTACATAGGACAGCTTTTTCTGCCTTTAGAGATTCTACATACTTACAGCAGACATATACAAAATAAACAAGTTTGCAAATATGTATGTTCATGTTAGACTCAGATCTTGTGCCCAAAATTACTTGATGGTACACAAGGACTGTTCCAAGAGGTGAAAATGAAGGCCTACAGTACATCCAGTCTTGAAAAGAGTAATTTCAACTCTTGAAATTACTAATTTGTTCTAAAGATGGATATCTTGTAGAGTATGGCGGCCCCTGGGTTCAGAAGGTATCACTCACTGGGTCACCCCAAGGGAGGTTGTGGTGCTGGGGAGCACAGATCATAGAATCACAGAATGTCCTGAGTCAGAAGGAACCCACAAGGGTCACTGAAGCCCAGCTCCTGGCCTTCACTGCAATCCCTGCCATTCCATGGACTTCCTGGTGGCACAGGCTTTCCTTTCAGTGCCAAGTGCAAATCTCAGACTGAGATTTATCTTTTACTAAGTTTTTTTACTTACCCTTGTTACATTTGCAAGGATGGGTGATTAGTCATGCTAGACTACTCTGTGGCCTAAAATTAGGAATATATTTCTGTCAATTTGCCTTCCAAGCATTGATGTTGCTTTCCTAATATTAGGCTAGTTTTATTCCTGGAAATCTTCAACAACAGAAGCAATAACCACACCAGCAACCACAACAACAATCATCTTTATGTGTAGCTAACATTAAAGTTCCTGCAGGAATGACAAATTGAAGTATTTAATTGTATGAAATCTATGAATGACCTGCTGCAGCATCTTTAGGAGGCAGACGCAGTTTGGGGCGAGTTAGGTTTGGGGCGAGTTAGGTGTTCTGTGTGGTTTTGGCATTGTGTGACCAAAACCTCTCAAACAGGCCTAGAAACTTATGGAATTTGTTATTATCATCACTTTGTTTTTTGTTTTTATTTAACGACCCTTTCCGAGCTTCCACCCAGCACGCACGGCAGCAGAGGACACACTTTATTTCCACTTGTGTCGCCCTTCCTCTCGCGGTGCCCGTTCCTGCCCCGCAGGCTGCCCCTGCCCGGCGGGGCCGGGGCGCGCTGAGGGCGCTGAGGAGCCGCGGGCCGGGACGCGCTGAGGGCGCGGGGCCGAGGCGCACTGAGGGCGCTGAGGAGCCGCGGGCCGGGACGCGCTGAGGGCGCTGAGGAGCCGCGGGCCGGGACGCGCAGCGCGGCGCTCCCGGGGCCGTGTTTACCTTCCGGGGCGCCGGGCGGGTTCCGGGGCGGGCGGTGGCTGCCGGCCCGGCCGTGGCTGTGCGGAGAGCGGCGGCTCCGGCGGACGGAGCCCCGCGGGCACCATGAGCGGTGAGTGCGGCCGGGCCGGCCCCTCCGCCCCGGGCCCGCCGGCGCTGCGGGGGCTGGCGCGGGCAGAGCGCGCCCGGGGGGCCGGGCGGGAGCGGCGCTGCCCTCGTCCCCCCCTCGCTGCTCCCTGGTGTCGTGCTGAGGCACGGGCACTTGGGTCTCTTATCTCCTCATCCCGTTCCTCGTCCCGGCTCCCCTAGTTCCCCCGAAGTGCTGTTTTACCCCGTTTTAAGTCCTAAGTCCTGCCCTTGAGGGTGACGCTGGCTCACAGCACAAGTGATGCTGAGCTCGGGCATCTGTGTTGCCTCAGCTGTGCAAAATCATAGGAAATATTCGTGAGAAAATAAATGACCAAGAGAAAATAGGAGTTAAAAAAATGAAAATATGAGCTCAGGAGCATGAAGTCGGTGGGAGAGGTGAGAACCACGGCTTGTGGACAAAGGGCCCCTGTTGCTGTGACCTGGCTGGGTCCCGGTGAGGATGTGTCTGTTTGGATGCGGTAATTTCCGTGGTAGAGGGGAGTGGTGCGGGGGCTGTGCTAAATCTTGAGGGTAAATGAGTGCTAAATCGAGAGCTTTCCGAGGTGTTTGTAAAGGAAATACTTAAAGCTTTGCATGAGAATTATTACCCATAAACTACAGGACTGGAGGAAACAGATCCGCTTGAATGGGCAAGCATGGAGGGTTGTTTGTTAGGACAGAGATGAAAATTCTGATAGACTTTTCTCGTAGAAGTAAAGGATAAGTGGTATTTATTTAATATGTATTAAAACACATTGGCAAGGATTTGTTTGAGGCTTTTTGAGAAGGAAGGTACTTTACTAAAAACTATGATGGGTCTCTTTGTGCATGTTCAGCCATGGAAGTTGCAGACAACACTCTGCACCTGAGGATTGGATCAGTATTGATCTCCCACCCTGATCTAATACTTGGTGATCTTTGTTGCCAAAGGCAGTAAGAAAAAAACTGATGAGTTAACTGGAGTAACTAACTGCTACTTGTTTTTTGGGGAGCAGACATTTCTGAAACTGAATTGAAAAATAAAACCACTTCACTTGTATTTTTCTCTGTTTTATTCTCACCTTTATGGTAGGAAGAAAATAGAAGATTTTTGTGGAAGAGATGAGGCAAAAAAAAAGATTATAATGGGGAAACCACTTGTGGAATATGCAAGTAACAGTGAAATCTTTCAAAGCATGGGAATAGAAAGTTTCTCAAATGTTTCAGATCTTGACATAATATAGACTAAATTCTAATTACAAAATTTGTAAGAGTCATCATTTTCATATGGAAAACCTTAGCCCTACAAATTCAAACTGGGAATAGCCTTGTGCAAAATTATGCAAATTAGAGCCTAAATCTTCCTAGGAGACTAATCTTTGAGAGCTCTATTTGGATTCTGTGACTCAGAAGGCAAGGTAACACCTCATGTGGCCTAAAGCTTCATCGTGTAGTTATTTTTGTTACCATTAATATTTTTTTAAGACAATGAAGAGATACATGTTTATGAGAAAATAAACAATTACTTAAAATAGAGTAATGCTTAGGGTGACATTAACAGTAGTGGTTCAATGGCATAGTAAGGACTCTTGTATAGCCCCTGCCAAGAATGATAAGGCTTTCCCAACAATTTCAGTTAGACAGCAAGATAACAAAAAAAAACCCCTAATGTTGCACTTTGACAAAACAGTACTGTTACACAATGCTGTACAGTGTTTTTCTAGAATAATATAAGTCAAACTGATCAGAACAGAGATATCTGTCATTATCATGCTTGTTTCAGATAAAGGAGATGGCTGATGTTAAAGAAGGATATGGTTAAAATTGATGAGATGTTTAGTGCCTGTAACAGCACTGTCTGTACTTACTTCTATGCCCAGTTGTAGGCCTTTTAACTAACAGAGGTGTTGCTAAAATATAGATGGAAGAACTTCTTAATGGCTATAATTATGGTTAATGTTTATTTTCTTTAGCTACAGTGTATTTCTAGTGGATGTGAAGGTAAATTCCTGTTGATGTAAGCCTCACCTTAATATTACTAATGCTGCTTACTAATTACATACTCATATTTTATTCTACATTACTGAGTAAGCTAAACTTTAAAGGCAAATAATGCAAGGATACAAGATTTATGTGTTTGTCAAGAATTGTGGGTGTTGTCATTTGTTTAATGACAGTTTCAAAAAAAACTTAAAAATACCACTTGTGGTGGGGGGAGTAAGCAGTAGAATCATAATAATATAGTATAAGGTAGCATTTAAATTAGGTCTGTGTTTGTTTTATTTTAAACTTGTGCCTTCAGAACCTGCATTAGAGCAAGCAAAAGGGCTTGCAGTCTGAAATGTTGCATTTAGGACATAAATGCAAGTTATATAAGAGCAATATGAGATTTATTTATTTTACTTCTATGCTGCATGTGGTACTGAAGAGGGCTTTACCTAGGAAGAACTGGATGAAAATCCTGCTTTCCTTTACTTATACACCAGTTTGTTACTGCTGTAGGTGTGGATGTTTATGTCAGAGTATGGAGAGAAGTTTGTTTTAAAAATAGGAAAGTGTGAACTTTAACAACAGAAAATGAAGAGGGTCACAGAGACAGGTGCAGCACCTTAGCCTATTTTAAACCCTTTTTGACTGAGTAGATGTTGGTGGAAGGAGTCTCTTGAAGTTTCTTAGTTTTTCAACCTTATACTTATGTTTTCATAATTATTTTTAGAGTCTTGTATGAACTTTCTTTCTTAGTGCGATAGTCTAAATACAGCCTTTTTCTGAGTAATGCTGTTTTTATGCATTCTATGTTTTGTATTTGTATATGTGTTGCTGCAGTTTTTACTGCTATTCTGAATCAGCAGACGGGTATTTTAGTCAGTTTATAATACACTGTTAGTCTTTAAATCAGCTGGAGTTGATCACACTTAATTGATGCTCTTGTCTGAAAATATGCTTTTTTTGTTTTTCTGAAGACTTAGTTTAGAAAATGAAAATGTGAAAGAACTAAATCTTCAGTAGAGTTAGTAGAGATTTATTTTTACCTTCCGCCTACTGAAAACAAAACCATCACTAAATAGTACCATGTTTTCTAGGCTTATTACAAAGAAAAATATACCCTTAGCATGAAGAGACACAATATTTGATTTTTCTTTAAATTAGACTTTGTGAGTATTCTTTTCCTTCTACCTTGTAACACTTCTGTTAAGCAACAGCAGTAGAAGAATTTAGGATTTGCATTGAAGAGAAAGCTCAGCTAAGCCCTCAGTAGACACATTAAGTGGCCTTATAGCCCTGTTAATGGTGAGAGTGATCTGAACTGCTTCAGGAATTATTGGTTGTAATCTCCTGCAGTCACAATTGTTAGTGCAAATTTACAAGTAAAATAAAGAGATAATACACACTGCACTCAATCTGTGTAAAGTTAAGGTTGTTTGTTATCACATGCTTTAATGGTTTAGAACATTAATTAGTATAGTGAACATCAGTAGGTATTCTGTATTTATGCACTTTTTTATATTGATCATGGTTTGGAATCTAGTTGCAAACCATTTCTG